GAACTTAAAGTCATAATTAAAGGTACATGGGATAAAACAGTATAACATAAAACAGTAATGCAATAAATAATAGAATACTTCAACATATCTCCACTCAATTCAAAGACTGGATGTTTCTAACGCTTTCGGTCTTTATAGAATAGCTTCCACTGCAGTAAAGGGTGATCTTCTGATACACCCCCAGATTGGTTGACAGGGACAACACTAGGTCTGCTATTTGAAAGTAAACATGGCTTTTGCCCTCCTCTTCCTCTATCAGCCCCCCTAGGAGCCACCACTAAACCCTGACAATGACTCCACTGACACCCAAGTGTCTCATTCATCTTCATTTGTCCCATCATATCCTGCCATTTGTATGGAAATGGCTTCCAAGCTGTGGTGCAAACCGACACTGCGAGTGGTAAAACAGGGCAGGGCGCTGATATTTGTGAGCTGGGTTGTTGTGGACGGGGGGGGGTCTATCTGCCCATTTGGCTGTTCCTGTATAAGTTTCTCAAACCAATGACGTGAACCCGACCCGCCACACATACACAGACACACTCACTCAGCAGGGGATGGGAGCTGGAGGAGGTAATCTGATTTCTCAGCTGCACAGGGGACCACTTCCTGAGAGCAGCCGGGGGTTTTCCCATCTGTCCCCCCACCCCCCCTGAGGCCTGACCCCCTGCCTGCTGTTTATAGAGTTTCTTCTTCCTGTTGATGTATTTTGCTTTTTTTTTTTTTAACTCTGATGCACACATAAAACTGTCTGAAAGCTGCCACACCACTAATGGAGTCTGGAATGAGATGGCGACCAGTTATGGAGGTGGAGGAAGTGGCTGTCATCCCCCCGCCGCGGCGGTGGATCAGCCTTCCAGAAGCGTGCCAGAAATGGGGTTTGGGTTTAGAGTTTGAGGAGAGGGTTAGCCAAAATTTGCATGTGGGGGGATTTGTGCTGATGGATATGAGGTGAACAGTTATCAGTTTACATAAAACAGCAGCAAACATGCCAGCTTGTGTCTCGAGTCGAAATGTAAATAATTATCAAAGTTTTCTGCTGGACGTGCCGTTTTAGACTGAAATCCTAGCTTTCATAACTAGAGATAAGAAAATGTGTTTAAGAGGAGAAGTGAAAGACAAAAGAAAGCAGCTGGAGCTCAGAGCGCACCCTGACATCCTCCTTTCCTCTTTGACAGAACACAGACACCGTATTTGATCAGCACTCAGGAAATTTCATTAAGGAGATGAGTGGATAAGAGACTAAATAAAGATCCTGTGGAAGAGCAGAGGAAGCAAAGGAGACAACAAAAGTATCAGACAGAAAATGTAGCGAGGGTAATGATGCCACGTCCAGGGTTTTCCTTTTTATATATCATAGAAGGAAAAATAAGCCCCCTTATTTCAAAGAGAATCTAATCATCATTTGAAAAGTAAAGGTTTATGACTGCTAAGTGATTTGACTCACAGCATGCTTAGGATAAAATACGCTGTCAAATAAACCCTGGTTTAACCAATTCTGGATGATATTTATAGTCATTAAAGTTACCTCAATTTAACAGCTTAGATGTGTTGCTATAAAAACGATTTGAACGATTGTGGATTTAAAAATGTGAATGCCCATAAGATAAGTCAGTCAGCAAACCAAGAAAGTCCTTTGGTTGTTTGATCTGGACCAAACATGGACTTTATTTTTTAGTTCATTTGGTCCAGTTTGTATTAAAATTTTCCTTTAAAAATAAAAAAAAAGTGGACTAGAACTCGCAGTGTGTGACGATCGTATCTCCCGCTGGTCAGAAGTACATCAGGACAGAGCTAAGTTCTAGAAATTGAGGAAAACTGGTCTGTTTTTGCCTATTTATGCTGTCATTGCATCTGCACAACCAGTCAACAGCAGCTCAGGCTTTGTAAGTTTGAAGACTTTTTATCTAGAATTTTGTTGAAGTATCTGTGAATGCGTCTTTCAAACCAAAGGAGATAAAACTCTTGCTGGTAGCAGCATTGCTAAGCAAAAAACCATGGAGCAGGTATGATTTTGATGCTACATCTACTACGTTGGCTTGCTAAGTCCAAAGACACTTATGCTTTTTGCATTGTGATGATTCTGAGGCCGTTTTGTATTCCTACCTGACCCAAATTCCATTAGGAAGTGGATCGAAACCACCTTTAAAGGTGGGTCTCGGTCTAATAGTTTAGTCTGGTCTTCATTCACACCTGCTTAAAAGGTCTAGCCTGGCCAGCGAGGCTGGTAAAGCTCAGACCCTTTGGTTTAAAATAGACCCGACCAATCACAGTGTAGGACGCGGAAGTTTAAACTTTCAGCAGAATTACCGGTAGCTATTATGCAATAGCGCTTTCCAATAACCATAGCAGTCAAGACTGCAGCTGAAATGAAGCATTGTTTTATAATTATGACTTGAATGATCTGAACAGGTCTTAGATTTTCAACAACTGGCTGCTGTAAGAACTTTTCCTTTTGAATTTTTTTTTTTTTCTAGAGTCATATCCAGAGTTATCTTTTTTTTTTAAATGTTTTTGCGGGACTAGTGGCTCGTTTATTGTACAGTAGGCTGAGAGGAACGGGGGTAGGAGGGCTAAGGCCTCTGTACATGGCTCTTGAGCGCTAAGCACTGCCCCATAGAAGCACACCCATATCCATAGTTAACTGAATGGTTCTAATCTGGTTCTGCTGACTTTGAAATATGGCTCTACCAGCTCCTTGCTAGTTCGATAGGTTGAGTGGGAGCTGTGATTACACCCCGAAACAATTCATTTGAATGATTCAAGAAACATTTGAAAACCGAATTAGCAATAAAAATAAAATCCATTGTGCCAGCGTTTGCATTCTTTTGTGGCAAATGTATAAAAATATTACAAAGCATCAATGAAAATTTATCTCACCCTCCATTATGTAAATATTTATCTGTATCATTAAAGTCGGAGTTATTCAGAGCCAAATGTGGCTCCAAAACTGCCTTAAACATACTCCTCAGATGAGTTTAGATAATAAAACACTTAGCTGTAAGACATTACTCTATTTGCACCTCTGTATTCACTAGTTATGCCAGCTGATCAGTATTGTTCAGTTATTCAAGGAAGAATGTTTTCAGATTCTTTCTATGATCGTTCTCTGTGTGCAATAAGGAATGAAGAACAGAAATATCAGAATTTCTCAATAGAAATATTTTAAATTTTATTTATTTGGGTGTAAAAAGATCTAATGGCACAAGATCTCACAATATCATAACATCGAAACATTTCTCCCAGAACTTGATTTGGTCTATTGCTTCTGTCTGACACCATTTCTATGTTTGAGAAATGTATTTTGACAAATGAGGGGAAGTCGTTGTTGGATTATAGTACGGCTGTCTAACCAGCGGTGCACAGAGACAGGTAGAGAAGGGGCCGCTCTGCTGTGCTTAATGCTCTACAGCTTTAAATACTGAAGCACCAGAATGATAATGGAAGATTAGGACACTTTTGAATCTGTGACTCTTTAAAACCTTGGTAAACATATCAGTAATTGCCTAGTGGGCAGCATTCTGGGCACCTGTTAGTAAACAGAAACAAGACAACATAGGCTTGGAAGCATTGTGACTACTGTTTACCACTAATGATGCCAAGCTTAGCTCCAGGCTCACAGCCTTCTATTGATGCTAAGAGAAAAGGGCTTTTTTTGAAAGTTTCCCAAAAAGAGGGACCCAAATCTAAAGCTGATGTGGGGCCCCTCTTCCTCTTAGGTTCATCACCAGCAGCATCTCCTTTTACATTTGGTGGATGTAGGAGGGTAAGTATAATTGGTGGAGCTTAAAAGCAACATAGATATTCAATTCATCCTCGATAAAGAGTATTTGTAGCCAATTAACTTGTTCCATTAAACTGTATACAATCACACACACACAAATACATATAAATATATACATATCTATATCTATATATTTATATTAGATATCATATATAATGCAATTATCAAATTATGATGATTATTGTTTGCACTTCTACAAGGCCAACTTACTTATTTAAAAAAAAAATGAAAGTCTTTTAGTTTATATAAACTAATGATAATTTTATTTTATTTTTTTCTAAATCTTAAATGCAAAATATTTATATATTTTCTTACAATCTTGGCATAATTACTGCTCTAAGTGGGTCGCTCTGTCAGCTAAAGGCATATTTTACAGTCTCTATACCCCAGTTAAAGATTAATCAATTACTACATTGATGGTTATTTCAATAATCGACTAATGAAATTCATTGTTTAAGCCCTAAAGATTACAATTTTAAATAAGCAAATATAGAAATTCCAGACTAATGTCTGTGTTTAAATTTGATTCAGTATGAGAGGCCCCTGATGGGCCCAAAGCATCTGTGTAGTTTGCATATAGCAAGGGCCGACTCTGGACTTTGATCATCTCTGGTTCAAATACCAGAAGAACAGTTGGGTCAAATGTGGGGAGACATCCAGAGTTTCTGATGAGGGACTCAGACTGGCAGGCTGTGGGAATCAAACTCTGGACTGATATTTCTACACTGGTCAAAACATGCTTTCCAACATCACTCTTATGTCCTTGTGTAAAATTATTTTCTAAAATCTGAATCCAATCAAAGATGAGAAACAGAAGTCATCCATAGAGTTCAAATACATAAGCTTTCTTAGATAAAAAAAATAAAAAATAAAAAATATAACAGCCTGCCTTTCTTTAGTTTCCACTTTAACTTCCTCCCATTTGTCTTAAGAACCAACCCTCCTCTTCCATCATTAATACCGATAGCTTGGATCTAGCAGTAGGATGTGACGTTAAATGGAGACAGGACTTTTTGCTACAAGACAGCATCTTTAAGGTGAATCAAGCAAGACAGACCAGAGCAAATGACCTTTAACCTTATCAATCAATCACCATAAGAGTAAGGAAGAGAGAATCAGAGACAAGGAAAACAAACACAAGACATCTACTCAGCCTTATCAATCACTGACCAAAGAGAAGGATGGAGAGACGAAGAAAGAGTGCCGGCGTCTTGTTTACCTTATCGATCATGTCGGGTCGGTTGGTGGCGGCCAGGACGGTGACATCTCGGAGCTGCTCGATGCCGTCCATCTCTGTCAGCAGCTGAGCCAGGACCCGGTCGCCTACGCCGCTGGACCCTGCGGAGCTAAAGAGGAGGGGGGAAAGAAATGAAGATAGATGAGTAAAAAGGGGAAAGAAGCAGGTGGGGAAAGAAGAGCGACATCAGGATGGATGACTAAAAGTGAAATGGATCCATATGAATCTGTCAGAGACTAAAGCCATAACTAAATAAATGAAAGATGTATATTTCTCCAACCAATGTTGGTTTCCCTTCAAACTGTGAAGCAATCATTATCATCCAGGGACTACCGCTAAATATCAGAGAGAAGTTAGCTGCACTAAATATGGCTTTTATAACAGATGAGATGGTCCTGAAAGCACAAGAGCTGAAAAGGTTTGATGAAATCCAACAATCAGTAAAAAGTACCAAGATTATGTCAATTTCCTAAGTTATATGTTAAATAATGTGAAAGAGATAAGCATGTTAAAAGATACAAAGTTCTACTTAGCACCAAGATAACAAGAACATTTACGCATTTTGACCCACGAGTTAATGTTATCTTTGGACAGAAAAAATAGTCATCTTTGGGACAGAAAAATAAAAAGCAACATTTTGCTTATTTTTTGTATGTGACGTACCGTAAAGACACTGAGCTCAAAACAAGATTTTTGAAAAGAAACAGAAAACAGGTTGTCCCTCTATAATAAAGCAGACCTTTTAGGGAACCTTGTTTGGACTTGTTAGCATTTATTTATTTGTCAGGGACAGTACACACTGCAAAAACGTTATGAAAATTAGTAAAATTTGCTTAAATTTAGTGTATTTACCCTTAATTTCAGTAGGAAAATACGATGATCTACCAATGAAATTATCATTTTTATCCATAAAATAAGACAGATAGATAATATTCACTTGAAATAAGAGACTGCAGTTGTTTTTTTTTTCTTATTTCAAATGTAAATTTTCTTAATCCATTGGCAAAGTGTCTAACTTACCTGCTAAATTCAATAAAAAAGGCACTGATTTTAAGAAAATTTGACAAAACTTAAACTTATATTTTTTGCAGTGTAACCATGTACATTTATGTAACTGTGTCAGTATTACTGTAGCTATGTTTTTATTTCATTTTATTTATTTGACAGGGACAGTGTACATTAAAAAGCATTCCTGCAAATGCACCAGAATTAGCCAAAAGGCAATTTTTCATCTGTTGTCCCTGGACTAGGGGTGGAACGGTTAATTAATTCATTATTTTTATTGATCCGCGGAAACCCTGGATCATTTCCGTATGTTTTGCTGCTTTGAATTAAATCATCTCGCGCATGCCCTCTACGATCTCCAAGGAACTCAGAGCGGAGCGGACGGGAGCCACAGTGGAGGCTGTAGGCTTTGCTTTGTGCAGGCGGTCTGGAGCGCCGACAGAGTATGTGGGATTTTGGAGTTAGCTTGACATGTTGGTCGTGTTGCTGTTAGCATAAACAAAACGTGTTGCGCAATGCTTGCACACTGTTGCACTTTTATCCACAACTTTCTTTCCGCCGTCACCGTAGGTCACTCTAAATGCAAAGCGGTCCCATACAGCAGACCTATAAAGTGCTGCTGGCGCGTCTTCCAACCCTTCTTCTTTCACACTCGCCATACCCACACAATTCTCCACAACAACTGATTTTTCCCTGCTACACCCGGCTACGCTGCTTCTTCTTTCTTCTTCTTGTTTACTACTGGTGGTTGGCTTTGGTCGCAGTACCGCCACCTTCTGCTCTGGAGTGTAAACGCTTCGCCTATCAGAAAAAGGAGCAGCGCATGAACCGAACGCAACACACGCAAACTGAACCGAGACAGTCGAACCGAACGGTTCGGATGGTTTTCATAAACTGTCCCATCCCTACCCTGGACAGATCTTAAAATTGTCTACCTAAAAAAAAACACAACAGTAGGCATTCTACAATAAAAAATACAAATATAAAAGGAAACAAAAACAACTATAGCTCCACAAAACTGATTTAAAAATACAGAATAAGTGTTAGCTGGACTACAGAGGTTCATTAAATAGAATAAAACATTTAAACTATGTATATATACATACGTATGTATACATACATACATATGTATACACATACACATATATACATACACACAGCAGAGACACAAGTGGCAGCATGGCTTGTTTATGATAGACATTTAACTAATGCTGACCTGACTGATGTGTTATGAGCCAATTTTTTAGATGCTTTTTTAAAAATAGTGTATGTTTTCTGTTCTCTGATGTTCTGAGGGACAGAGTTCCATTCCTAAGATACTGTAACTGCAAAGGCTCTTTGACTAAAAGCACTTTTACACAAAAGGAACAACACAGTCTACTCTAGACTCTCCTCTACGGAGCTAGTTTTCAACTTTTTTCACTGGGCAAGGTGTGTAATGCCAACAGCAATTAAAAAATACTTAAACAAACAAAATAATTGAGGCTTCATACTTACAAGGGCAGGTCATACACTTCAAACACACATTAGCATAAAAATATAAGTAAGTAACACCCGATGCAAACATTTGGCTGAGTCATGCACCAGGAGGTCGGTAAGGTATAATGAGCACATTGTCGATTTGATTTTAAATGTTTTTAACTGAGTCCTTAATGTGTTAAAGTGGAGGATTCTCTGATAGTGAGAGGGATGCTGTTCCAGCTGTAAAAGCCTTTGACTGAAAGAGCAATCTGGCCTGCTACTCTGATCCCAATGAGACAGAAAAGCTGCTGCATGCAAACATTTTGTTCACATGAAAATCAAACAGTAACACTGAGTGAAAATTTAAAATAAATTGGAATAAATGAAACCAAAATATGACAACAGAATGAGGATGTGAGGAATAAAAATTGAATAATCATGTGACAAGGGGGATGAGGGACTGACCCAGATAAATCCTTGTTTTGAACAACTGTGACCCTTTATTGGAAAGGGTAAACGTTTTACTCCAATAAAGATAGTCAGCCTTCAAAAACTCATCAGCGCATTACTCAGTGCATTACTAGGTGGTTATTTTCCATAGCAGAGCACAGACAGCCATCCTTCTGGCATCAAACACACATACAGCCTCTGTTGACAGGGCCAGCAGGAAGTGCCAGACGTCATTAGTGGAAACAAGTCTTCAGAGGAGCACAAAAGAGCTCTGTCACCGAGATACCAGGGAGAAGAAAGGAGGGGGGTGACAGAGGAGGAGAGAAAGTTTGGGGAAGGGGAGACAACACGCTAGACAGGAAGCTGCACTTTAAAAAAAGATGGAGTTATGGAGATAGTTAACGGGGAAAGAGACGCAAAAAAAGATCGGAAACAAATAAACTTTTCAGAAACAGAACAAACAAGCAATGGAGGATGGGATCTATTATGGCGTCTGAGGAAAGAACGGATAAAAATAA